TAGTTAATATTTGGTGAAGCTGGAATTCAAATCCATAGTTTGACTCCAGGGTCCACAATCTTAGCTCCTTGAATAGAGCTCACTCCAAATGAAGAGACAAACTGCACTGCTATGCATGGGGAAACAAAAGCACCATTACTTTTCACTGTGGGGATCAGAAAAGGCTTCATGGAGGAAGTAGTGCTGGTTCTATTATTTTATTTTATTTTTTTCTGAGGCACCTGTACTCACTGGACAGAGACAGAAGAAGTAAGAGGGAAAATGAGAAATCACCCTCCCCCCACCCCAGGGGAGATGAGGAATGCACTGCAATCCCTTTTGTATTTTCCTCCTGGAATTTTGGGCACACACGCACATGTGGCAGGTGTGATTTTGAAGTTGCCGGGTCTGGGCCTCTAACCACAGTCACCCATGTACGAGACCAGCACCTTAATCACCATGTCACCTGCTGGCACCTCTATTTTCTTTTGAGCTAAACTTTCTAGGTCACTAGAAAGGATGCCACACAGCAAGCAGCCATAAAACTGAACAGAGTGAAAGCACATTATTTTATGATACTGTAAATTAGAGAAGACAGAGTTAGAAATATTGTGCTTGATTGATTTTATTTCTTCTAATCATAGTAATTAGCACAAAAACATATGCCATGGATGGCTCGAAGAAGTATAAAACACTGTCCCTAGTATCAGGGACTTATACTCTAGATGTATCTAACAAAACTAACTGGTACAGAAAAATTAAAACTAAAGTCATCTTTTTAAAAAAATGGAATTTTGTACAAATGCATTTTAATAAATGGAAACAGAAAAATCATTGTTTTAATGTACATACATACTTTCCAATGATTTCATAGCAAAATTCTAATGTCTGCTCTTTGTTGGGTTTTGACTTTGAGAGTCTATTGCCCCTCACTTTTGATAATTAGACTCCAATTTTTCTCTTGAAGAATCTCTCACATGCTTCAGTGGGGACTGCATTTGACTCTACTGAAGATGTGGGTAACCTGAACCAGCACAAGCACCATGTTCTCCTTTCCATAGTGACTGTTTCTAGGATGAGCAAAGAACCCAATGAGACACAATAAGACTTCTGTTAAAGCTTCAAGGGGAGCAGATGTTTGTGACAAAACTTAAACCTGGAAGGATGTAAGTGCTATTAAAGACAAAGAAAGCCAGATACTTTCGGGTCAATAAAAAATCACAATGTATTTTTGCATAGAAAAATATGTCATGACCTCTTGAAGACCCAATAGATAACAATGATAAGCACAGGCTATATTCTACAACTACTGCAAAGGAGAAGACAGACCAGTGTGAACTGAATTCCTATGTTCTGAAACAAAAGGTAGAGATTTTTTTAAAGGCTTGGAGGTGCTAGGGAAAAAGTCACCTGGATTCATTAATTGGTGCTTATCTGGAGGATAAACAAACCTGGATCTTTATGATAGTTGGTAATAATTCTAGTTGAAGCAAGGTACCCACTGAAGTTAGCCTGTAACCCTCCCACATGGACTGGGAAGGTAAGACTTAGTTCCCAGAAAGCTGCATTTCACTGAGACAGGGGTCTTATATCCTTAGGTGATAGATTTACATCATCAAGAACAGAGAACATACAGGAAACTAGCAGTTAGTGTAATGGCTATGTCGCTGGACTCCCATGTAGTCAATCGCGGTTCACGTCCCAGACCCGGTGGCTTAAAACTCACACCAGGCGCAAGTGCGTGCATGCCCAAGATCCCGAGAGGAGAATAGAGGAGAAGGGATTGCGGCGTGACCATCTCCCCTGGGGGGTGATTTCTCGCTTTCTGTCTCTATGTCTCTCTCTGTCTGTCTGGCGAACACACGCGCTCTATAGCAAAAACCTCTCAAAAAAAATAAAAAACAGAGAACATACTTATGATTCCAAGCTTTCTACTCTAAAAGGGGGTTCAGGGGTCTCTCTACCTATCTCCAGGTTTTCTTGGAACAAGCAATAAATTCTGCTAACAGCATTGAACCTTTTTATGAGGCAGTTTAAGGGGACAGGGATCATCCTAGGGACAGGACTAAGCTGCTATGAGCCATGCAAGAATTTGGTTAAGTCTCTCAGGACAAAGGTTTAGGAGTCCTTACGTGCTGCGAGTTATGAAGTGCTTGCTCATTACAACCACACCATAGAGGGGAAGCCTATCCAATACCAGGAAATTGAGAATTCTGGCAACAGAGTGCACTGTTACCTTACCCTGCTTTATTTTTCTTAAAAACATCTCATTACCTGATACAACAGCATATTAATTTGTGTAGTGCCTGTTTCTCATTACAATGCAAGCTATATGACACCAGGAACTGACTCTATAACTACCGCTACCACCCCTGCGTCATGATACAGTACAGTGCCTGTCTCACAATATAGTCAATTAAGTATTTGCTGAATGAACAGATTCCTTTTCTGTACTTCATTTTGACTATACCTAAATCAAGCCTTACCCTTTTTTGTTAAGCAAGTTTGAAAGTCATTTCTCAACCTATGCAACCCAAGAGTTGTAAATGACAGTTTTGTTCTCAATCCACTATGAATGTGAATTGACCTGTAGTTTATTTTACAAAATGAGATTGTACTATACTACCTGGATGCACCTGCTTCATTCAGTCCTTTCTATGTATTTTTACCATATGTAAGAAAGTATCAATGTCTAGAAGTCTGTAAGTTTCATAAAGACAAGAACCATGTCCCATTCATCTGGTATTTTCTTGGATGTGAATGGCAGAAATTAGGGTCAGTGAATATTTACTGAGTTGAACCAAATCCTCGAGTCCTTCCCTATCTCTTCTTTGCACATTTCCAGTTGCATTACTGTAATCTTTTGGGTGCCAACTCTTACTTGCTTCCCTTTACCCAGGGCTTCCTTTGGGTTAAAACATTAAGAAAATTATTTCCTTTTTCAACACGATTAAGTAAAAGTCATTTATCCATATAATAGGGATAATTAGTATGCTTCAAAAAGAGTCATCCCTTCATAAACCAAAACATTAAAAGGTTAACTAATTTAATTTCCACAGTTAAGACACACTTGAGTATAATGAGACTGAAGCTACTATGTGTAAATTAATTCTTGGCACAGAATTAAACCCCTCTTCTTTTATGAATGACATCAGCTTATTAACTCCTGATCAATTTGGCACATGGCAACGTCTCTGAATGATGCACAATTAAAACGATCCTTAGGGCAGACGAGGTTCCCAAGGTACAAGAAAACACTTACAAAGATACCATAAAACAGCTAGCCATATACCTTTCCGCGGTCTCTCACGTATGTACAAACGTAGGGAGCGTTCTAGATTATGCTGACTCACAGGCAGATAGCTGGAGTATTATTCAAAGGTTAGGAAGGGATCTCCAAGCTGAGCTGCGAACTAGAAAGCCCTGACACTCGACTCCATTCACGAACCTGATGCTTCCCAATCTATCAGCACCTAGGGGTTGTCAGACTGAGCAACAGGGGAGCCTGAACGGCCTGTTTGAAGGAGCCCGTACATTGTCAGGGACGTTGCACTGGGGTAGCCTCCTTTACTTTTTCCCGGTGAGGTCCCCTGGCAGTGGGGACAATTGCAAAGGGGTAAACTCTCCTTTTACGGATGGCATTCGCTAGCAGGGGCAGGAACTGCTACAGGTCATGACTTTTAGCAGCTACGGAAGAAGGAAGGAGCTGAGCCCTTCCTGCCTGGTCTCTCGGCCCTGCCCCAGACACCCCAGATCTTACACACCAGGTGCGGGAGCGAGGGCCCCGGGGCCACCCCCCGTCCAGCAGCCCGGCTCCCCCTCCCGGCCCCCGCCCAGGCCGCGCCGTCCA